ACATGAATACAAAATTATAAGGATTAAAGAAAATAAATTAAAAATGTAGCAAGGGCTGAATTAAAACAAATTAAAATTTAATGGCTAAATCTAAACAAAATAAAAAATAGGTTAGGGACCAAAATGCAAAAACATGATAAAGTTACATGAACCTAAAACTATTTATCCATATTATTTAAGCCTAAAATACCCTATTAAATTAAAATGGGAAAATTACAAAATTAGTCCTGCCAAATTAAAATAAAATTTAAAATGTCACTACATATGATCGAAGTGTAAAAACACGCTAAACTTATAGTGACTAAACAATAAATAACTTAATAATATTATAACATGTCAGGAAAAGGGAAAATAACAGTTTCAACCCCTACATGTGACAAAATGTAAAAACAAGCTAAACTTATATGGACTAAATAGTGAATAGACCAAAAATTATATAGCATGCAAAGAAAAGGAAAAATAGCAGGTTTGTCGCTAAAGGTGGCTAAAACTTAAAATGTACTAAACCTAGGGGGACCTAAATGTGATTTTACCCTAAATTCTACCTATATATACAATTTTTTTCTTTCTTTTTTATTTTACACCGAAAACAAAAAAAATCCTCTCTCTTCTCTCCTCTCTCCTTCGGTTGACCCACTGTCGGCTACCTCGCACCCCGCTCCGACCGCTACACGCGGCAATTAGAACTCCCAAACTAACCTAAAAAGTCCCAAAACCCTATATCTACCAACCTAGGCCCTTATTTGGGGCTAAAAATACAAAACAAATGATAAATACCTCAAAAAACTCATTAGACCCTTCGATTTCCTTAACTTTGGCGACCTCCGACGAAGCCCCCTATGACTTGGGTAAACTCAAATCTAACCCTCTTCCCTTTTTTTGTGTGTGTTTACTGTGAAATGGCTTGGTTGTTATTGGTTTTTTTGAACTAAAACGTTTTTTCTACTACTTTTTTATTTTCTGTTGTTCTAAAACTAAAGGCCTTTTTTTGGTTGTTTACTAGAGGTGGGTATATGGGCTACCCGCCCGTTTAGCCCGCGGGTTTTAACGGTGCGGGCTTAAACGGTGCGGGCTAAAAAGCCCGCATTCATAAACGGTTTTGAATTTTAAGGCCCGCAGCCCGTCCATTTAACCCGCGGGCTAAACGGGCTTACCCGCGGCCCGTTTAATAAAAATAATTTTAAATGCTTTAAATACAATAAAAAATAATGTTTTAACTTGCTACACCTTTAAAAATGATCGAGCAACTTGAAAAGGAAGGTAGCATTGTCAAAATAATAAATAATATTTAAATTTTATTTTAAATAGCCGGAAATGATTATAAAATAATATTTTTTTAATTTTTTGATCATTAATAATATATATATATATATAATGATATAATTACTTAAACTCAAATTAAAAAAACAATATTCACTTATATCACCAAATTGAAAAACAAATAAAACAATAACCACATTATACTTTTATAAAACACGATTATTCAAGGTTATGATATGAATACACAGAAGTGTCTGAAAGTAGAAATTCAAACATAAAAATTTAACAAAGTCAAACATTATACAAATCTAACAAGAAAGTTGTCAAGTGTTTCTAATAATTGTATTTTATGGATACTTTAGAGAAATACTAAAACATAATATGAAAATATAAAATAAAATACTTACAGTATAAGAACAAATTTGAAAGATACAATTATACTAAAATTGATAAAATATAAGTCATTAATTTGTTAAAATATATTTATTTTGTAAAAGTTTTTAAAAGTTAAAAAGTATATTTTCAATTTTTTTATTTTACTTTTCTTTCTTATTTTTAATCCAAATATTACGTGTCATGTGATATATTATTAGAATATCACGTGACTTTTTATAATTAAAGAACAAAATGGATAACATACTTCATGAAAAAAATAAAGGTCAAAATTAAATAAAAAAAACTTTAAATACCAAAATGATAATGATGTATATTTAAATGAAAAAAATATCAAGCAACGGTAAAATTATGACAAACACCCTAATAAATTTAAGTTTTGAGGCCCGAAGCCCGCACGGGTCGCGGGATAAACGGGTAGCCCGCGGGCCTTAGCCAATATACCCAGCTCTATTGTTTACTGGTTATTTGAACCTAATTGAAAACGTTTTTTTTTATTTCGAAAACTAGAAATGGATTCTTCTTTCTTTTTACTGATATTCAAAACTAAAAAGAAAAAAATTACTACTACTTGAAATTAAAAAAAAAGATAGAAATACAACCTTGAAATTTTCAATTTATTTCTTCTGGAAAAATAAAAAACTGAGAGATTACAACGTTTATGTTTGGGGCCTTATACCCATTTACAGAGAAAATAAAATAATTGCATTTTTATTTGTTTGCTTGTTGTCTCTGTAGGTATCGTGGAGTGCTGGGTGGTGGTGGCGTGCGTGGAGCAACCCTCTGGCATTGAGGCAAAAATCGGCGCTAGCTAATTGGGTGAGTGGGGCGGCTACACTAGGGTTAGGTTTAGATTAGGGTAGGCTTGGGTTCTGTTTTATGCTTCGGATCGATTTCTGGTTGTGTTTTAGGTTGGATTATGTTTGGGGTTGTTTTGGTTTGGGCTTGAGGCCCGTTTGGGGTGTTGTAAATGGGGTATGTATGATGAAAAGGAAAAATAGCGATTACAATTTGACTATCGCCTAATTTGACAACGGTCAATTTATTATATAAGCTTAAAAATAAGTTCACTTATGATATATAAAATTATACAATAACATTATATATTGAAATTAAAATCAAATATTATAAATCTAAATTAATAATAGAAATATTGCCAAAGTTATTTAGTAATATATTGAAAAGTTGAAAATAATCAGTTGAATCACGAACTGATTAATTAGTAACACTAATTCAGATAGCCTCTTAAATACTAGTAAATTTTATGAATCAAAAATCGATTAATTATTACTATCAGTTCAGTCAACCGTTAGACAATAATCAAGAAGATTTTTGGATCAACATATATCTTTTATCAATCTGAACAATATCGAAATGACATATCATCACCTAAAACTCGAACTCAAGTTTGAGGATAAAATTGAGAAAAAGTACCAATTTCAAAATTACTATGGATACAAAATGTTTAAGGAAAAAATTGGAAATATTATGAAATAAATAAACTAAATATTGCTTTATCCCTATTATTATTATTATTATTATTTAGACTACGGAAGACTTAATTATGCAAAAGCTTAACTTTAATTGATATATAATGATGTCCCATTAAGGAATCATCAAGGCGGTGACATGTGAAAATATCCTTCCTTTGCGGGTCCTTCAACTATAAATAAGAAAAAGTATATTCTAATAATATGTTATATAAAATTATATTTAATTAATCTATGCTTATAATTTTACAATTATTTATTATAGAGTCGATGTACCTTTTGGCCCTGGTTTTGACTTTGATTAGCAATTTATCCTACATCCTCTTTTGTGCAATTTGGTCCTTGACCCTTCAGCTGCAATTTAATTCCTATAATTTAAAATCATGATTAAAATTCTTATTTATAAATTAAAATTTGTCTAGATTGTTGAGATTTATATATTAAATTTTAATTAAGGGCCAAATTATAGATTAAATATAAAGTCAGTGGCTAAATTGTATATCAAAGCAAAATTTGAGGGCCAAGTTGTTAAATAGAGTATTCAGATTCTAATCTTAAAGGTAATAATATGGTAAAAACATCTAAAACAATACAATAAAACGAATTATATAAAAAGTGAATATAAAATCCCTTTTCTATAACTTTACTTCTCAAATTTCGTAAGCAAACTTATCTATTTAGTTAAGCAATATCATTGCTCTAATTACACGCACGCATCTCCCAAATTTTGGTGTCAATTTTGACTTCCCGCTAATCGCATAACTCCATGCGTGAAATTACACGCGCAACAGTTACATCTAATTCCAAAAAAGTAAAAAAGGTTTAATTCCACTTACACCCCGATTATGGTTAGTGTTCTAAATTGGTCCAAAACTTCAAAATGTTGTATAATTAATTTAATATCACATAATATCATATCCTTTCATCAGTATAACCATCGACTTAAACATTAATTCAAATAACATAAAGTATGTATAAAACACATGAATGAAATTTTAACTTATTATATTTTTCTAACTTATTATATATACTATTTGAATCAAACTAAAATGGTGAAATTATATATAAGTTCAACTAAAATTTATAAATTCAAATTTAACCATTATATTAATAAAATTATGATTTAATCATTTTAAAATTTATAGATTAATTGTATTTTAATTTCTATAAAAATATATAATTCAATTTTGACCCTCCTAAACTGAGGACTAAGTTGATAGAAAGACCTGACTCATTCTAATTGAATGTAATGAAAATTGATGAATCCATTTAGAATCTAAATTATAAATGAGGAATATATAGCAAAATTAACCCAAACTGTTCCCCCTTCTCTTTTCTTTTAATTTATTTACCAGGTCTGATCGCCTCGGTCTATATTATATTGTTATATTGTCGGCTTCTTCTTCCTCACAAACTTATTATTAAAAAAGAACAGAGAAAGTAAAGAAAAAGGAAAGAAAGCTGCTTTTGTTTTGTTTTCCTTTGGCTTTGTCTCTCTGATTTCCCGGTGACAAGTCTGTTTCGTTCTTCTTGATCCCATAAAGTTCCTTTTTTTCCTCCTTTTTTATTTTAAATTTTTCACGTCGGATTCTGGACCTAAAACTACGAGTTTCAGGTCACCGGTGGTTAACATTTCGTGCAGTTAGTTCGGCTTCTCGGAACCGATTGGAGAAGAAAATGCTTTGTGTGATTGAAATACCAGAACGAATCAAAAGCTTGTTACAAGCTGATGAAGAGAAAATTTTTTGCTCCGAATGAATTGAACTAAGTTTTGAGTATTTACAATTTAGGGAGTTAGTTTCTTTTTTGGGGGATTTTTTAATGTGAATGACAGCAGTATTATAGGCGGCGACGGCGGTGTTTCCTTATAGAGTTGAAGTTAAATTTATGGTTGTGAAAGCTGATCTCTTTTTCACCATTTGTTGGAGCAAAACTAGTTGTTGGATTCGCTGAGAGAAGGGTTTTTTTTATTATTGTTTTTTCTTAGTTGACCCAAATTTGTATGAAGCATGAAGGCTCCACCAAATGGATTTTTGGCAAATCCTGCTGAAGGTTTGTTTTTCTCCTTACCAATTTCTTTTTTATTTGAGTATGGGGAGTTTTGTTTTATCAGAGTAATTGGTCGATTAATTCGGATTGAATACTAAAAAGAGATTTTTGCTTAATTATTAGCATATATATTTAGTTGCTGATGGATTTCCCCCCTACAATAGCCAGATCCCCTCTAAAATTATTGTTGGTTTAAAGAAATTAGTTTCTTTTTTAGGGTCGTTTAATGCTTTATACTATAATCTTTTGAGAAATCCTTTAAAATTCCATTTCCATAAAAATGGAAAGTAGGTAGCAACAAGACAAGAAATGAAGTTTTTGTAACTGAACTGAGTGTAAAGTTTCCCTTTTTTTTAGAGGGAAAGATTTGGGTTTGGGATCATTTATCATTTGCAAATTGGAGGTGAAACAAGGGGCAAAGACGAAGTCTTAATTATATAAGAATATTCATGATAACCTTTTTCATGAATTGGAAATTTCTTGCTTTGAGTCTAGAATTCTATAAAGTTGATTCTTAACTTGTATATCATTCGAAAATTTTGAAAGATATGGATATTGTGAATCTTTAGGTAGTTGAAGCTTTTAATTTTTTTTTCCCTTCTCTTGTGTGGTTTTTGGGTTGTTTGATAATTTCTGGTTGGTTTCGGTAATGCAGGAGAAAGGAAGAGTATCAATTCAGAATTATGGCATGCTTGTGCTGGACCACTTGTTTCTTTGCCGCCAGTTGGAAGTTTGGTGGTTTACTTCCCTCAAGGCCATAGCGAGCAAGTGAGTCGTTTTCCTTATTTATTGCTATGGAATAATTGTTTCTGAACCTGGTCTTTTATGATTTTTTTATTCTTTCTAATTAATAATGTATATTTCTTCTCAGGTTGCGGCATCAATGCAGAAGGAGACTGATTTCGTTCCAAGCTACCCTAATCTTCCTTCCAAGTTAATTTGCATGCTACATAATGTCACATTGCATGTAAGCAAAAGCAAGCCACTGTTATCCCCAGTTTCTTTTGTTCTTTAAACCGTTGAAAAGAAAGTGGTTGTTCCTAAATGAATTTTGTGAATTTATCTTGAGATGCATGTGCGCAGCTATGTGCTGCACCATTTGATTGACAATTTCGCTTTCCTTTAAGCTAAGTCGTTGCTGACTTAGGTACTTGGTGCATCCGTTTGGCCATCCGGATGGTGTAGATAACTTTTTAACAGTTTGAAATGATCTAAAAGTAAAGTTATAAGGTTCTTTGAAGCTTCTAATTTATTTGTTTATATAAATTTTGAATCAGGCTGATCCGGAAACTGATGAGGTCTATGCTCAGATGACTCTTCAACCTGTAAGCAAAGTAGGTCAACTGATCCATTTGAGAATTACTATATTAGTATTGCAGTAACTGCCTCCTTTTCCCTTCCTGAAATTTGGGGAAGAATTTTAAAGTAGTATTCTACAGTATGACAGGGAAGCATTCCTAGCATCTGATATAGGCCTCAAGCAAAGTAGACAACCTGCTGAGTTCTTCTGCAAAACTCTTACAGCTAGTGACACTAGCACTCATGGTGGATTTTCTGTGCCTCGTAGAGCAGCTGAGAAGATCTTCCCTCCTCTGGTTTGTAAAACTTTTCAGTATTTCGATTTCTATTTTGCGATTTGAGAGGCATGTAAGCATTTTGTGCCTACTTTTACCGAGACTAAAATGATGATGTTTGATAGGATTTTTCGATGCAACCACCTGCTCAAGAGCTAGTAGCCAGAGATTTACATGAGAATACATGGTCATTTAGACATATCTATCGAGGTATCAGTTTCTTCTAGATGCCGCCCTTCCGTTTCAGAATTAGAAGTCTGTTTTTGCTGCAAAGCAATCATTACTTATGTTCTCATAAATATATTCACTAGCATCCTTGCTACTCAAAACAGTTCATGGATAAAGAAATCCATCTTTCACAACTTAATCATACTTAATAATGTTTTTGGTTATACCGGTCATATCGTTTCAATCACTGTATTATGATACTCAAAACAGTTTGAGGATAAAGAAATTGAATAATATATTTCAATGCATAATGGCTTCTTTGCAGGTCAACCAAAGAGGCACCTTCTAACTACTGGTTGGAGTGTCTTTGTTAGCAACAAAAGACTTTTTGCCGGTGATTCTGTTCTTTTCATAAGGTATGGTTCATTTCATACATATATGGTGACACACATTCGTATATCATTTTTATGCTGCTTAACTGGAACACTTTGCTTAAATGTAGAGATGAAAAGTCACAGTTTCTCTTGGGTATAAGGCGGGCTAATAGACGGCAGCCAGCTCTCTCTTCATCGGTTATTTCTAGTGATAGCATGCATATTGGGATCCTTGCTGCTGCGGCTCATGCTGCTGCAAATAACAGCCCATTTACTATATTCTACAATCCAAGGTATTGCTGCCTATAATATTTTTTTGACTGTCCTTTAATTCATTGTTATCATGAAATCATCTTCTTTTTTTCGTCGTAAAAGATAAGGTATCGATATGTCTGAATAGATTTTATTAATTTTGATAGGGCAAGTTCTTCTGAGTTTGTGGTACCCTTGGCAAAGTATAACAAAGCCATGTATACCCAAGTTTCTCTTGGCATGCGGTTTAGAATGATGTTTGAAACCGAGGAGTCTGGAGTACGCAGATACATGGGTACAATTACTGGTATCAGCGACCTGGATCCTGTGCGATGGAAGAATTCACAGTGGCGCAATCTTCAGGTATTCTTAGAACGTTCTGATAGTATAAACGCAAGTGTTGTCCATTTTTATGTTGTACTTTTTTTCCAAATATGTCTGGCATGATATCAGTGGAAAATACATTGTTAACATGCAAATTTTAAGTTCATCTGTTGTATCCGTTATACTACATGGCTCTAATATATATGAACTTGGCTACAGAAATCTTTATCTCCCAGGGTAACATGTAAATCTTGATATTTGTTGCATAAGGAGAAAAAAGGCTTGTTATTTTTCGATTTTGGTAATTTATTTTCATATCAAAACAGGTAGGATGGGATGAATCAACTGCTGGTGAACGGCCTAGCCGAGTTTCAGTTTGGGATATTGAGCCTGTTGTAACTCCTTTCTACATATGCCCGCCGCCGTTTTTCAGGCCCAGGTTCCCCAAGCTACCAGGGATGCCAGGTGAACCGTATTACTAGATATATCTTGCTAAACAAGGACAAATAACAGGAAAAGTAAAGAACTTAGTTCTAATCTTTGAAGATGCTTTTGCAGATAATGACGGTGATGTTGAGAATGCTTTCAAGAGAGCTATGCCCTGGCTTGGAGATGACTTTGGCATGAAGGACTCACCTAGTTCAGTCTTTCCTGGTTTGAGTTTAGTTCAGTGGATGAACATGCAACAAAATAATCAGCTGGCAGCTGCTCAATCAGGACTCTTTCGAATGGCTTCTTCAAATCCTTTGCAAAATAACCTTAGCGCCGACGATCCTTCCAAATTATTGAATTTTCAAGCTCCAGCATTACCTGCATCAAATTTGCAGTTTAACAAAGCTAATCCGAACCAAGTCAACCAGCTGCCTCAGGCGCCTATGACATGGCCCCAGCAGCAGCAACTCCAGCAGTTATTGCAGACTCCTCTTAATCAAAATCAACAGCATCTATCCCAACAGCAGTTGCAGCGACAACAGCCGCCTCAGCCTCAGCCACAGCCACAGCCACCTCTACAGCAGCAGCAGCAGCAACCGCCGCTGGCAAAGCAGCAACAAAGACAACCACCACAGCCGCAGCAGCTGTTGCAACAACAATTTGTATCGGCTCAAATAAATAATGGCATCACTGCCGCAAACCAGATCCCGAATCAAAATTTGCATCAACAAGGTGCTTATTCTCAGAATCAGCAACAACAACCACAATTACTTAATAGCCAGTCAACTCAAACCATCCTTTTGGCTAATAAGACTTCATATCCTTTAACGTCATTACCTCGAGAGACGCAGAATCAACAACAGATGGAACAGCAACCTAACCTTGTACAGAGCCAACAGCAACCTAACCTTGTACAGAGCCAACAGCAACAAATGCAGTTGCAGCGAAGTCTGTCTAAGAGGACACAGCAGCAGCCGCAGATTCATCATCTGGCTCAGCAGGGCCTATCTGAGCAGCAGCTTCATTTACGACCATTACAGAATTTGCAGCAACAGCAGCAGCAGTGGTCCCAACAATTACTCTCACCAACTGGATCACTGTTGCAGTCTCCATTGATGCAGCAACAGCTAATGCATCAACAAAACCAATCATTACAACATTTGCCTCTTTCTCAGAGTCCACAAACACTTGGCAGCAATGGCTTTTCAACATCAATGCTCATGCAACCTCAACAGCCTGTGGTGAGCCAACCTCCAAGTCAGAACAAACCACTTATGGCTATGAGAACCCATTCTGGTCTTACAGATGGTGATGCTCCATCATGTTCAACCTCACCTTCTACCAATAATTGTCAGGTTTCACCATCAAGCTTTCTAAGCAGAAGTCAGCAAGTACCGCCCATATTGGTGACAGATCCAGTTGTTGAGCCTGCAAGTACACTGGTTCAGGAGCTTCAGAGCAAGCCTGATGTCCAAATCAAACATGAGCTACCTGCTTCTAAAGGTCCAGAACAATCGAAGTACAAAAGTACTGTGCCAGACCAATTAGAAGCATCCTCTTCTGGAACGTCATATTGCCTGGATGCAGGAACCATCCAGCATAATTTCTCCCTCCCCACCTTTCTGGAAGGTGATGTCCAATCACATCCTCAGAACAATCTTCCATTTACACCTAATACTGATGGACTGGCACTTGACACTTTGTTATCAAGGGGATATGACTCTCAAAAGGATCTTCAAAACCTGCTTTCTAATTATGGTGGCAATCCAAGAGATATTGACACACAGATATCCACTGCTGCAATAAGCTCTCATTCGTTTGGTGTGCCAAACATACCTTTCAAGACTGGGTGTTCAAATGATGTTGCCATAAACGATGCAGGAGTTTTAAACGGCGGATTGTGGGCCAACCAAACTCAACGTATGCGAACATATACAAAGGTATGTAAGAAGCTCAACTAGAAATGCCGCATGTACATTATAATCAGATTTTTTAACCTCAAGACTTTCTGAGCCTAAACATGAGTTCAAGTTAAACAAGTATCATATTTGTTCACTAGAGTGATACATATATGTTATGAGGCAGCTTAAGTAAGTCCCAATGTTATAGTATAACCTCTAAATGCTTGGTGCTGGTTTGAACTTGTGAAGGTGCAAAAGCGAGGCTCTGTGGGAAGATCAATTGATGTGACTCGCTACAAAGGGTATGATGAACTCAGGCATGATCTAGCCCGCATGTTTGGTATTGAGGGGCAGATGGAAGATCCACAAAGTTCTGACTGGAAACTAGTTTATGTGGATCACGAAAATGACATATTACTTGTCGGAGATGATCCTTGGGAGTAAGCAACGACACCAGTTTGAACTAACTTCCAGCATTTGGTCTTTCTGTTTTAGGTCCCTAACTTTGTAATCTCTAATTCCTTTCAGAGAATTCGTAAGCTGTGTTCAGAGCATAAAAATACTGTCATCCGCAGAAGTACAGCGGATGAGCTTGGATGGTGATCTCGGAAATGTGGCTGTTCTCAATCAAGCTTGCAGTGACATTGATAGTGGAAATGCATGGAGAGGACATTATGATGATCCCTCAGCTGCCTCTTAACAGATAAAAGTCTCAAAACTCAAATGCTAAAACAAATTGATCTATCTTCTGCCTTTGGGCTTTGCCTAGGCTTATTGATGAATTGAATTTATGCATATTCAGGGAAAATATGCTGATTCAGATGGTGTTCAATTTTGAAAACTTGGCAGAGCATCCTTTTTGACTTGGGAGCAAGTTATCATTTTAATGTATAATATAACCATATCTAGAGATAATCTGACATTATCAGGCATGCTTTGTACTGGCAATACACAATTAGCATCAATTTTTGCTCATGTTGCAGCAGATACAATTGGAAATTTCTTTCAGGTGAAATGAATATATCCATGGTGTCATAACCGGTTTTCTCCCGGCACAATTTTTTTACTTGGCGGGAAAAATGATGTGAATAAATAGTTTTTAAAATATTTTGGGAGTCGTCATCGGCTTTTTGGGTCAGGTAGGTCGAATACCTAAAATTTATCTTTTAAAAGAGTTTTTAAGAAAACATTAGTTAAAAGATAAATTGATTTGTATTTTAACTAAAAATTCGTTCTTTCTAATAATAAATAAAAATAAGATTCGTGGTCGATTACGTTTGGGGAAGGATTAGTACCTTCACAACGCCCAAAATTGGTATCCATTAATTATAAATTCTCTATTATTGAAAATTTAAAAATTCATAAATATATTTAATTTATAATCATGTTATTTCAAATTTATAATTTTAAGAAAATATATTAATTTATATATATAAATAAGATATTTATTTATTTAGAAATATTAGAAAAGAGCTTCTAGGTGTTTTAAGACAGCTCCTTTCTTAATATTAAAAACTAAATAAATATTAATAAAATATTTCTACTAATATATATATAATTGATAAAAGTAAAATATTTATTTAAAAATATCAGAAAATGGACATCTAGTTGCTTTAAGACTATCCTTTTTCTTTGATATTTAAAAATAAATCTTATTATAATATTGTATTCCATGTAAATATTAGTGAATAAAACATAAATAAATAAAATACTATATTTAAAGTATAGGATCAAAATAAAATTAATATTATATGGTATTTTATAATATTAAGTAAAAAACAATAATGATCAAAATAAAAGAAATTAAAGAAATAATATTAAATTGCAAAATATTAAAACTTATGGTAAAACTAATTAATGATTGAATTATAAGTTGTAAAACTTAAATGCTCTAACTCCAAATATTATAAAATTTGAGCGCTAACAGTGTGATTTAACCTATATTAGTTAATCGGGATTGAAATATTAAATATAAAAATATGAGGGACTAAATATGATATTTATCCTAAATATACAAATATTTACTGATTAATGACTAAAACATAATATATTAAAATTTGAATGCCAAATTAAAATAAATAAAAATAACTTGTGGTGATTATTTTGTAAAGATTACAAACATGGAACACCGCGGAAGAGGTTTACCCCTTAGGAAATTACAGAAACACCCTTCCCCAAAACGACATCGTTTGGGAGAGGGTATTTAAACCCTTAAATGGTCGGCCCTAGAGCCATCTTCCTTCATTTTCTTCTTTTCTCTTCTCTATCTAGAACTGAGAGAGAGATTTCTCTCTCGCCTCTCTCCTCCAACCGGAGGAAGGTCGGCCATCGATCGGCAGTCGTCTGCCGCCAACTCTGCCTTCAACAACCGCCTTCGGTGGCTGGAAAAAAAAAAATTACACTAAAATACAACCCTGATTTCCCCAAGGCCGAGTCCGGCCTTAGTTTCCCCTAAAAGACTCCTAATCAGAGTAGATTTATGAAAATACCTTCGGTATTTTCTGTTCTCCGGCGATGTTTAGTGCTTCCGGCGATGGTCAAGGCTCCAAGGGTAAGTTTCTTTCTTCTTTCTTTGTTTTCTGTTTTTCTCTTGGGTTGCTTTCGTGGTTGTTGTCTGCTCTCTGTCTTTGTGTTTTTGGGTTGCTGTCCGTGTCTCTGTTCTCTCCTTCCTCTCTCTTTTTCTTGCAGGGGATGGTGGCTTTTATAGCCACCATTGGTAATGGCTTCGGACCGATCCCATGGAGTTGGCCTAGGTGAGTCACCATAGCTATGGTGGTGACTCACCATAGAGCTCGGCGTGGGAGGCTGTCATCGTGGCAGTAAAGCTTCTGGAGTCTTCTGGCGAGGACGGCGGCAGCTGGATCGTCGGTATGGCTACAACAGAGGCGACGACGTGGCCCTAGGGTGATGATACCCTAGGGTTTCATCTGGATGCGCATGGGCCGTTGGATCTTGGTGGCTGGGAGATCCTTTGGTCAAAGGCTGCGGCTGGGAGCTAGGGTTAGAAAACCCTAGTTGAAATGATACAAACCCTAAAGGGTTTGGGTCTTCTATTAGGCCATCGAGTTTGGGTCATTGTTGGGCATGATGTAATTGGGTTGGGTTTTGTAAAACGGGTTTGTAATGTAAATAATAATTTTTTTTATTAATAATAATAATAATAATGATAATGATAATAATAATAATAATAATAATATTAATAATAATAAATCAAATAAAAAAATTAGTGTCTTCAGCTGCCCCTCTTTGCTCATTCTTGTGTTAACGAGAATAGGACAAAGATAAAAAGACAATAAGTTTTTTTTCATTTGACTTCAATTGATTATGATGGCAATATTGAACAAGTTCTTCTCATTATGAACTCTTCCACTGGGGATGACAATTCATCTCTTTCTGTAATGTAATCTACCAAAAAGTTGAACAAGCTCTTCTCATTATGAACTTCTTCTTTGTCAGATGAGTTCTTCTCATTATAAACTCTTTCTGGAAATGCTGATTTTTCAAAGAAGGGTTGTTAATTCAAATATGTGATGAATTAAGGCAAGGTTGAACAAGTTCTTCTTATTATGAACTTCTTCTCATTCTTCAGATGAGTTCTTCTCATTATGAACTTCTTCTGGAAAAGTTGATGCATCGAATGATGAATTCGAGCAAAAGGTTGAACAAACTCTTCTCATTATGAATTTCTTCTCCCTCTTCAGATGAGTTCTTCTCATTACGAACTCTACCTAGCAATGCTGATCCATTAAGTGATGGAAATGTTTGTTTCTAGTGAAATTATCTCAAGCGAGACGAATCTTGTTTTAAGAAAAATAATCTCAAGTGAGATAAATTGTTGTTTCGAGTGAAACTGTCTCAAGCGAGACAAATTTTGTTTTAAGAAAAATAATCTCAAGTGAGATAAATTTGGGAAATAGTTTATTAAGTAAGAAACTTTGGAAATCATTTTCTTACTATTCAACCACTTCATTTTCAGAAAAGATTGAATGAGAAACTTTGGAAATCGTTTTCTCATTTTTTAAAAGATTGATTGGGTAACATGCCCCATTTCAAAATAATGTTTCTTCTGTGGGTTGCGTCCATCTATTCTTCAGATGTTTGCGTGATTCCTGCATTTGAGGTTTTGAAGTCTACCTTCTTCTTGTAAGGTATTTTACATCATGACTCTTATTTTTCGTATTAAGATCTGTAAAACTTCATGTTTGAATACAATCAAATGTATCAATGTAATGCATTGTCTGTTGTGTAAATGATGTTCTTATGAATGCATTAATGTTGATGCAATCTTTATTCGACTTTAAAGTGGTGAACGTGATCTTCTTTTACTTCATCATTTATTGCCAGGGTTACCTTTGGATATCAGTGTAGCAACTTATGCTATCAAGCTTGTATCTCTGAAAAACCATTTGATCAACTTGTATCTTTGTGTCTTCTTTGTTTCATTTAAGTCCTAGAAGAAATATTCCATTTATGGAACTCTTGCCGTAGTCAGAACTATGACCTTGATGCCCCATTTTATCTTTGATAACATCGACTTTCTTTATCTGGACTTGTGTAGAAATTCAATAAAACTTTCATCTTTGAAAAGAGAATCTATCATCTTTGAAGAGTGTAGATGTAGATATGCCTGACTCAACAGGGATTAATTAGGAGAGTAGAGTCTGTTCTGATTTGACTCATGAAATATATCTTAAGGAGGATTTTTCCTAATTCCTTTCATGTCTCCACATATAATTGGATCTCGAACAAGGCAGCTTGGACTATATCATGTCAAGATGCTTAACAATAATCTGTCGTTCGACATTAGTTGGTTCAACTAATTTTTTGTTGTTCAAATTTCTGCTTCCCTTCTGTGGAAATAAATCTTCATCATATCTCACTTCTGACCTTGGGGTTGAAGAAGACAGATAATCTTGGACCAATAAATGGAAACCATCTGATCACAACATTGGTTCAGCATCAGAATGACTGGTTCGTAAAACATTTGACAACACATTCATCCAGGTGTGGCTTCTGCACAGATTTCTGGTCAAGGAAGCTCTTTTATAATGTTCAGAACTTTTGTATGATGTCACAAGACCACTTGAGAACAAAACTCAATGGGAATACAAGTGAGATATCGGTGTGTTTCATGACAAAAAAGTTGGTCAAATTCACAAAATATGCTAGCCAAATTGAATAAGAGATATCAACTGATCTTGATATCATCTCGGGTAAGTATGATACCGATCACGTTTTCTTCTATAATAAGTGTTGTAAGAAGTGGAAACACATCAACTATAGGAGCCATGTACAGAACAACATCCATGGAATTCTTGTCGCTGAGGATGAAACGCAGATGATAAAACCATAATAGATGAAAACTCAGTTCAGCCTAGATGGCAATGATAACCCTTTATGTTTCATTGGAAATATTTGCTCAATTCAATGATCTTTCCACAAGATGATACAGACCTTCAGCATGGCCCAACATTTGCTAATATAAGCGTTCAAAATGCGTCAACATTCTTTATTCTGATTGAAAGGGGCTTTCAGCATGCCCAAATATTGGCTAATACAAGCGTTCAAAATGTGTGAACATTATTCATTCTGATTGAAATAGGCTTTCAGCATACCCCAACATTTGCTTCTTGTTGATGTGAGTTTTCAAAATGCCCAACATGGATAAGTTTGAAGTAACCTTTAAAATGCCCCAACATTTGTTGATTCAGATGTTCAAAAGTGTGCTCAACATTACTTTTTGCTGAGATGTGCCTCCAAGAATACCCAAATATTCATATTACTATGAGCCTTCAAAATGCCCCACCATTATATTTCTGGTTGAAATGGGTTTCGAGATGTCCCTCATGGATCTGTCTGAATTGGGCCTTCAAAATGCCCCAAACCTTCTAAACTGTAAGGCTTACTTTCAATGTCTGTTTGACTTGAATATCATGATCCCCACAAGGTCCAATTTTGACAATGCACTGTGGTGTGTACTTGTGGTTATATCTGTGCCTCAAATCTGTTTATCTTGAATACTCTCATTC